GGGTGGGCCAGGGGCAGGTGTGCCTGCCTCCCCCCACCCGGGCCTCCCTGGGGCGCCCGGCCTGTCCGTGGCAGAGGGTCGCTCTGCCTCGTCCCTGGCTGGAGCCCGCCTCTCCTCTCACGTGCGCGCGTGTGTGCAGCAGCCCCCCTTTTCTTTGGGGGGTAGTTCAAGACCCCCAGTGGTCGCCTGAAACCAAGGACAGTATTGAAACACACACACAATTTTTTCATATATATTTTTATCTGTGATAAAGTTTATTTATAAATCAGGTGCAGCAAGACATTAACAACTGACCTGGTGCCGTGGCTCAGCCTGTAATCCCAGCACTTTGGGAGGCAGAGGTGAGAGGATTGCCTGAGCCCAGGGGGTCTGAGACCAGCCTGGGTGACTTGGTGAGAACTCGTCTCTACAATAAATCACAAAAACTAGCCAGGGGTGGTGGCCTCCGTCTGTAGTTCTGGCTACTTGGAAGGCTGAGGTGGAAGGATCACCTGTGCCCAGCAGGCGGAGGCTGCGGTGTCCGTGAGTGTGCCACTGCACTCCAGCCTGGGTGACAAAGAGTGAGACTCCAACTGAAAAAAAAAAAGAAAAAGAAAAAGACATTGACAACTAATCATAATAAAATGAAATAATGGTAACAATATACTGTAATAAAAGTTACATGGCTGTGCTCTCACCCCAATCTCTTAAAATATCTTAATATTTTGGACATGACTGAAGCCCTGCATGGCAAAGCTGCAGATGACGGGACTGCTGTGCATCTCTGGGCCTCTCTCCGGCTCTCTCCTTTCTCCCACTCTCCCCTTTGGGACCTGCCTGGTGATTCTCCTCTGTGTCCCCCTTGCTTCTGTTTTTCTATGTCCAGCTCTCTCCAATCCTGGGATTCTCGCGTCTGGCCCAGCTGCACTTTCTCTCGCATTTGCCCTTCTCTCCTGGCTCTGCGTCGTTCTAGCAAATGATGAGGATCCGAGGCAGAAAGTGTCGGGAGTGAGGGTGGGGTGGGGGGACGGGAGGACTTGCTGAGGTCTCTGCCGTTGATGGAGCGTGCTAGTGGTGAGGGATACGGCTGCTGGCCAGCTCTGGCTTACAGGACGCAGCTAAATTAAAGTCTCTGGGGATGCCTCCTTCTTGGTGCCGGGAGATGGGACAAGCATGTGGTTGCTGATGGCGAGTCAGTCAGTCACTCATCTGGCAGGTGTAGACTGAATCCCTCTCATGGGCCACGGGTCCTGGTGTCAGGGACACAATGGTGAATGAGTCAGACCTGGACTTTGAGAAGCTTCCATCTTGCTAGGGGGACGCAGGAAATAACCAACTACCCAGATAACTAAATACACAGAGTGACAAAATCAAACAGGATCAAGTGATAGAGAGGGAGTGAGAGGCGGTAGTGGATGGGCAGGGATGCCCGCTCTGAGGAGGTGATGCTTGAACTGAGCTCTAGGTGATAAGGAAGCAGTCAGATGAGGGTCTGGATGAAGAGTGATCTGGGGAAGCAGTAAGTGCAGAGGCCCTGAGGCAGAGCAAGCTTCAATGGCTAGAGGGAGTGTGGTGTGGCTGGACTGTCGTGAGTGACGGGGGAAGGATCTGAGGTGAACTTGGGACTTCACACCTGAGTGTGTGAGGCACTGTCTGCCAGGAGAAGGAGGCTGAACTTATCCTAAGTACAACGGGAAGCCACAAGTGGGTTTGAAGTAAAAGGTGTCTTGATTTATGCCTTAAACAGAAATCACATGGGCCGCCTTCTGGAGAATGGCCCGGAGAGGGCCAGATTAAACCAGGAGGCCCTTTGGAGGCTGCTCTGGGGGGCCCGTTGACCAGTGAAGGTCCTGGACCCAGCTGGCAGAAGAGGAGGTGGTGAGAGGTCAGAGGGGCTGGGGATAGATATTGAAATACAGCCTCAAAGACTTGATGATGAACTGAAAGGGGGGAAAAAGGCAGGGCTCCGGGGTCAGCCTCAGCTTTCAGCTTGAGGAACTAGATGGGTGGTAGTTCCACTTCCTCAAACAGATTAAAAAATGGAAGAGGAGTTGGCTTCGGAGTGGCAGAACCAGGTAGAACCTGCTAGAACCAGGAGCTCTGTTTGGACATCCTAGGTTTGAGATGCCGGCGAGACCTTGGAGTTGGTGGCGCCCCTGATGGAGGTGGCCATGGAGACCGTGAGGCTGCTGAGTAGGCGCTGAGGTGATGGTGGGACCAGAGAGTGGATTGTGTTGTGAGGGGAGGTAGTGATGATCCAAATAATTGCCTCTGGCAGGGGGCCCAGGACTCAGAGATGCCTGCAGCCTGAGCCATGGGGTGATGGCATTGGGGACCTTCTCTTCCACAGGTGTCCCTGCTGTTTGGAACCATCTATGATGCTGTTGTTCTGCTGGCCCATGCCCTGAATATCTCTGAGAACCCTGGGACAGGGCTCTTGGGTGTTCATTTAGGAGACCACATAGAGAATCTGGATGTGGCTGGCTTTAGCCAGAGAAGTCGCACAGGCGAGAAGGGCAGGAGGCTGGCTCGGTGTGTCATCCTGGACACAGATGGTCGAGGAAGCCAGCTGGTCCCCACTCACATCCTGGACACAAACACATGGCAAGTGTAGCCTCTGGGCAGAGTCATACACTTTCCAGAAGGGGCCCCTCCGGCCCGTGACTCCAGCTGCTGGTTTGAACCCAATACACTGTGCATGACGGGTAATTCATCATCCATCCACACATCACCCACCCATCCATCCACTCATCCATCTACCCAGTAACTCACCCAACCTCCCATCCATCCATCCATCCACCCACCCATTCATCCATTCATTTATCCACTTATCTATCCATTCACTCATCCATCCATTCGTCCACTCACCCATTCATTCACTCACCCAACCTTCCACTTACCCTCTGATCCATCCACTCATCCATCCACTCATCCCTCCATCCACTTATCCTTCCAACCTCCAATTAGTCACTCATCCATCCATCCATGCAGTCACCCACCCAACCACCCATCCATCTACTCGTTCATTCACTTATCCATCTATTTATCCACATCTTTCCATCCATCCACTCATCCATTCATTCATTCACTCACCCATCCATTTATTCACTCATCCATCCATCCACTCATCCACTAATCTGTCCATCCGTCCGTCCGTCCATCCATCCATCCATCATCCATCCATCCATCCATCCATCCATCCATCCATCCATCCATCCACTCATCCATCCACCCACCCACACATCCAACCACTCATCCACTTATCCATCCATCCAACCATCCATCCATCCATCCACTCATCCATCCAACCATCCATTCATCAACTCATCCATCTATCCACTTACCCATCCATCCATCCATCCCTCTACCATCTACCTTTCCATCCACCAACCATCCATTCATCCATCTATCCATGCATTCATGCATCCATATATCTATCATATTTTTGCTTTTGAACTTTAAAAATTATTATTCTCATTTTACTTGGGGAGTACAAGTGCATGTTACAGGGGCATATTGTGCATTGATGGGGATTGGCCTTCAGGTGTACACATTCCCCAAAGAACGAACATTATACCTAATAGGAATCTTCTGGATCTTTCTCCCCTTCCCACCTCCCCATTTTTAGTGCCCCTAATGTCTATCATTTCCATCTTTATGTCATCAAACTCCTACATATAAGGGAGAACATGCGGTGTCTGATTTTCTGTTTCTGAGTTGGTTCACTTAGGATGATGATCTCCATCTCCATCCGTGTTGCTGCAAAGGACATAATTACATTCTTTAATATGGCTGCACAGTATTCCATAGTATACACATGCCACATTTTCCTTATCCAGTTAATCATTGATGGGCACTTGGATTGGTTGCATGACTTTGCTATTGTGAATAGTACTGCAGTGAACATATGTGCAGGTCTCTTTTCTAGATAATGGTTTATTTTCCTTTGGACAGATATCTAGCAGTGGGATTGCTGGGTTGAATGGCAGTTCTATATTTAGTTCTTTGAGAAGTCTTTATATTGTTTTCCATAGAAGTTGAACTAGTTTACGATCTTATCAGTAGTCTATGAGTGATCCCTTTTCTCCACCTCTGTGCCGATATCTGTTGTTCTTTGACTTTTTAATAATAGCCATTATTGGGCAGACTGCTTGAGCTCAGGAGTTTGACACCAGCCTGGGCAACACGGTGAAACCTAGTCTCTACAAAAAAAGAAAATTTAAAAATAAACTGGGCATGGTGGCATGCACCTGTAGTTCCAGCTACTCAGGAGTCTGAGTGGGAGGACCACCTGAGCCCAGGAGGTCAAAGCTGCCGTGAGCTGTTATCGTTGTGATCATGCCACTGCACTCTAGCCTGGGTGACAGAGTGAGCTCTCAATTCAAAATAATAATAATAACAAAATAACAACAACAATAATAATACAATATAATATAACAATATATAATAATGTAATAAAATGACAATAATATATGTGACTGGTGTGAGCTATTTCATTGTGGTTTTAATTTGCATTTCTCTGATGATTTGTGATATTGAGCATTTTTTCATGTTTGTTGGCTGCCATATGTCTTCTTTTGAGAAGTGCCTGATCATGTCCTTTGCCCACTTTTTGATGGGGTTGTTTGTTTTTTTCATGTTGAGTTCCTTGCTTGAGTTCCTTGTAGATTCTGGATATTAGTCCTTTATCTGAGGCATAATTTGCAAACATTTTCTCCTAGTCCACAGGCTTTCTGTTAGCTCTGTTGATTATTTCTTTTGTGGTGCAGAAGCTTTCTGGTTTAAGTAAGTCCCATTTTTTCCATTTTTGTTTTTGTCTCTTGTTGTTTTGGGGATCTTCATCATAAATCTTTTGCTGAGGTCAATGTCTGTAAGAGTGTTTCCTAGGTTTTTGTCTCAGATTTTTATAGTTTCAGGTCTTGCATTTAAGTCTTTAATCCGTCTTGAGTTAATTTTTGTACATAATGAGAGGTAGGAGTCTAGTTTTATTTTGTATATGGCTAGCCAATTTTGCCATCACCAGTTATTGAATAGGATGTCCTTTCCCCATTGTTTATTTTTGTCAGCTCTGTTGAAGATCAGTTGGTGTAGGGATGTGGCTTTATTTCTGGGTTCGCTGTTTGGTTTCACTGATCTAGTTTTGTACCAAAGTCTTGCTGTTTTAGTTACTATAGCCTTGTAATATAATTTGAAGTCAGGCAGTATATGCCTCCACATTTGTTCTTCTTACTTAGGATTGCTTTGGCTATTAAGCTCTTTAGTGGTTTCATATAAACTTTAGCGTTGTTTTTTTCTAGTTCTTTGGAAAATAGTGTTGATAGGGATTGCATTGAATCTGTAGATTGTTTTGGGCAGTATGGTCATTTTCATGATATTGCATTTTATAATCCATGAACATGGGTTGTTTTCCCATTTGTTTGTAATTCTGTTTCTTTAATCATTGTTTTGTATTTTCCTTGCAGAGAACTTTCAACTCTTTGGTTAAGTGTATTTTTAGATTTTTTATTTTTTTGTTTTTGGTGGCTATTGTAAATGGAATTGAGCTCTTGATTTGATTCTTGGTTTGAGTGTTATTAGTGTATAACGTATCCCAAAACTTTACTGAAGTCATTTTTCAGATCCAGGAGTCTCTTGAGAGGTCTTTAGGGTTTTCTAGGTATAGAGTCATGTCATCAGCGAACAGAGATAGTTTGACTTCCTCCTTGTCGATTTGGATGCATTTTATTTTTTTCTCTTGCCCGACTGCTCTGGCTAGGATTTCCAGGACTGTGTTGAACGGGAGTGGTCCACTGTTTATGAGATCTCTCCATATGGACAGTCTTATGTGAGGAGCAGGAGCAAGTGCAGAGAAGGGAGTGGGCACTTCCTTGAGAAGACTGAACCAACAGCTGTGAAGCACCAGGGAAGACAGAGGCTTCCCCTCAGACAAGCAGGGCCCAGGCACTGCTAGAGAATGATCCCGTCTCTCAGGTCTCCTCAACGAGGCCAGTAGCCTATGTGGGCACCCTGGAGCATGGAAGCTCAGAGGGGTTTGGTGACTTGCTGGAGGTCGGTCACACAGGGAGGTGGCGGCTGTGCTCATGCTGAGTCTAGGTCTACTGACTCCAAAGGCAGGGGTCCTTTCAGGAGATACATACCCTTTCAGGCCTCCCTAGGCTCCTGCCTTTTCCTCTTTCTGGAGGGCTCTTCTCTGAGCCACCACCCGCACTCTAACCTCGCCTCTTTGTCCTTCAAGACTGGCTCTGCAGTTTGGGCTGGGGCCCGTCCACAGGGCGTGTATACTGTATTGGCAGTAGCGGTGGGAGTGAGAGGAGGCCATCTGTCTTACAGGCTGGATGTGAGCTCTTTTTGGTGAAGGCAGGCCTTGAACCGAATTGTTGATTTGCCCCTCTTTTCTTCCACAAATCCTGGTTGAGGACCTGCTGCCCCAGGCACTGTGCTTGGCTCTAGGGACGTGGGAGTGAACCCATGTCCCTGCCACATTGAGCTGATGTGCTTGAAGACAGATCCAGAGTCTGCTCTGCAGGGGCTTCTGTCTGGTGGCAGAGGCAGGGACAGCCAGAGACAACACCACACAGTGCAGTCAGAGCAGTGAGGGTGGCAGTCAGGGGCCGATGGCGTCCACAGGAGGGCTTTATAATGCCTATTCTGTCGGTCCTGGCTCCTGACCCCACCCTTGGACAAGTTTGCATGAATTCATTCCACAAACCTATCAGAAGACATCTGTGGAGCTTTCACCTGGGCTGGGCTCAGTGCTGAGAACTCAGGAGATAGTGACAGATAAGAGTCATGGCCACTGCAAGGACCCGTGGCAGACAGAGCTCACAGAGTGAAGAGGGACAGAAGGGTGGACAGGCTCTGAGCGGGGACCAGGACATGCAGGACCTTGGGCAGTAGCACCAGTCTTGAGATGTGTCTTCTCTCAGGGATCCAGTAATGGCCGCTTGGGTTCTAGGATGGCCGTGGCCATCACGACTGCAGCTGATCAGGCGCCATGGACTGAGAGGCCAGGAAGCAGGGGTTTTGAGACCCACATATTTAGGGTTGAGGCTCAACTCCGACTGGCTGTGTGATCCTGAGCAAGTCGCTCACCCTCTCTGGGCCTCCATTTCTCATCCACGAATAGGGATAAAGACCTGCCACTGTCACCTGCTTGTCCTTGGGGTGGGGTGGAGCTAGACCAAGGAGCAGAACTTTTGCTCCCTTGACTGGAAGGGGCTACCTGACTCAGATGTTCTCAGTGAGAACTACTTTCCAGGTGGAACTTAGGAGTCCTAGGACTGATTGGGCTTGTCCTAACAAGAAGATTTGGTGAGGGGTGTCTGGGGAATACACCCATCAGGGCTGGCCTCCTTGTATCTCGGGTCATGCTGGCAAGTGGATTCCCACTATCCTTGTTTTTCTACTGGCTTCTTGTCCTGCAAAGTGGTGCCTGTGAGATGCAATTATCCACATTTCCTTTGAGATGTTGCCCTGTTTTTCAGCCCCCTTTTATACAGAGCTCCTTGAAAGGTTGTCTGTATTCTCTGGGTTGAATGTTTCCTTCCCCCCTGCCCCCACCATGAGCAATCTCATCAGGGTCACCAATGACCCCATGTGGCTGCGTCTAGCACCAGCTGTCAGCTTGACCAGAGGGCTGACTGTTCCCTCCTCCCTCTCTGGGGCCTCCCTGTCTCCAGCTTGTTTACAGGGGCCCCTCTGGCTCGGTGCTTTGAGCCCTGTGTTCTCTCTCTGCACTCACCCTTGGTGTCTTGTCTGTTCCCGTGGCTCCACCCTCTCTCCCTCCTGGACACATGTATCCAACTCCCACTAGACATCTCCACTTGGATGTTGAGTAGGTATCAAGCTGGACAAACCTCAAGCTGAGCTCCTGAGCTGCCTCCCATAGACTTCCCTACTGTAGGTGTGGCCACTTCCCCCCCCCCCCAAAGCTCCTCTCGCCTGCCCCAGCCTATGGGCACCCCACCAGGGCTCCCTCTTTAGAACCTGCCCAGGACCAGCCCACCGCCCACCACTTGCCGCCTGCCCCTCCTCTGCACTCTCTCATTGGCTGGTGAAGTGGTCTCCTGACAGACCTCTCTGCTCCCACCCTTACCCCTGCCACTTAGGGATACAGCTCTGCCACTGTTCCTCTCAGGCCTGCAGAGGCTCTCACCTCACTGGAGGAGAGTGGACATCACGAGGCTCTGTTCCCTGCCACCTGCTGCTTTGTGCCCTGCATCACCCTGCCCTGCTGGCCTGGCCTCTTTGCTGTTACTGGAATGTCCCTGGCATGCCCCTGCCTCAGTCTCTAGGTTTGTGCTCCTGTGCCTGGGACACTTTTCCGCCATGTATCGCGTGGCTTGTTCCCTCTGCCCTCCAGTCTCCACTACAGTCTTTCCTCAGGATTCCTGGCTGATAGAATGACCAGTGGCTAGGAGCCCGGATGCCATAGCCAACTGCCAGGGTTTGAACTCAGGCTCTGCACTCACAGTCACTCAACCCCTCTGTTTCCTCATCTACGGTATCATACCCATGACCACCCTATGTCCAGAAGCAACTGTAAGAAATAACCAGATTGAAATACATACTTCTTAGAATAGGTGATGAACAGTGCTCACCATCTAACGAAGGAAGGGAGGGAGGGAGGGAAGAATAGTCCTCCCTTCTGTGGCAGCAGAGGTCAATGTCTTCACTCCAGAATGGGGCTGGGCATTTTCCCACCTCACCAGCCCATGCCGATGCTGGGGCACCCCTCCCACCTCGCCTGGTGGTCTTCAGCTGCATCTCTGTGACTCCTGACACTAGAACTAGATGTTTAGATTCAGTGTAAAGAGGGCTCGTCTAACAGCAGGGCCATCCCACAATGAAACTGGTTGCCAAGCAGGTAGTGAGCAGCCTATTGCAGGAGCATGCAAGAAGAAGTCGGACGGCAACTGCAGGGGTGCCTCTCACACTTTTTACCCAGCACCCGCCCTGCCCAGGCCTGTGCTAGGCACCAGGCTTGCTGGGAGGAGTACAGCGGAGGCCCTGCTGTCCAGCACCTTTAGTCTAGGGTGGGGGCAGGGGACGGATGAGTGGGCAGACAAAAGCCCACAGTGTGATCAGGACTGTGGAGGGGTCTGAGCCGGGTCCGTGAGTTCTGAGGCAGGGAGCCCAGGGTGAGAACACAGACAGCGAGGCTGGGAATCTGTGTCTGTGCACGACAATTCGTCCACAGGTAGGACTTCCCCAAGCGGGGTCATTCTGAGCCTCGCCCCTGGGAGGAGGCTGAGCTGGAGGTTGTGTCCCCACTTCCCAGGGGAGGAACTGAGGGAGGGAGTGAGTGCAGGAGCAAGGTGAAAGGGCAGTGACTCCCATTTGTCCCTCTTCCCGCAGGTGGACAGGCTCTGGGCAGCGTTCCCACCCTGGCGCTGGCCTGCATCCTGGTGCTGGCTGGCAGCGGGGCCCTCACGTGCCTCCTCAGGTGAGACTCTCTGCACCTGGGCCTGGTCCTGCCTCTCTGTGCCCCCTACCCCCCAGGGCTCCCCCTGTGCACACATCCCTGGTGATCTGCAGGGGGCTCCCCTGGCCTCCCTCTCCTGAGACCTCACGACCCCCAGCATTCCTGTCCCTCCTAGATCCTCAGCCAGGACTTACCAAGGTCCTGGGCTGCCTCCTGAGAGGGTCCGTTTGAGACTTGAGGAAGAAGCCTGTGACCTTGGACGTGACTCCAACTCCATCTGTACAGTGAGGGGCCTGGCCAGCATGATCCCCCAAGGGCCCTCCAGCTTTGAAAACAGTTCTCCCTGGGGTCTAAATTCCTCTGTGTCCCTGAACCCAGACCATCCCTGAGCCTCAGGCACATCAAGAAGGAGGCCACCCTCTACTCCCGGCCTTCTCTGGGCCACCCCACAAGGCCTCCAAGCAGCTTGAGAACACCAAGGCTGGGAACCAACAGGTGCATCAGGCCCTGGGGTCCAGACCTGGGCCCGAGGCCGAGGGGCTCAGTGGAGATGGTGCTCAGTGCCCTCTCAGCCCCACTGGGACTGGTAAGAGACAGAAATGGAAACAGGGAGAGAAGAGGGGAGGCCCAGAGTCAGAGGTAGGCACAAGGGGCCAGGCCCAGGTAGGGGGACGTCTGCACCACCCCCACTGCCCTGCACTTTCTCTTGCCTCCAGATTGGGCATCCAGAAGGTGCAGCTGGTGTGGGGGCCCCACCGGATCCTGCTGACAGCCCAGGAGCTCGCCTTCTTCCATCTGTCCCCAAGCAGATGGGCGGGTGGGACAAGGGCTGAGTGGGGCAGGCAGGCCGTGGGTGGAGGCCTGGTCAAGGCTCTCGACCACTCCTATCCCCACCAGAGACTGCATGTGGACAGTAAGTCGAGAAGTGTGGTGGATGGCAGAAGCCTGATGTCAGTGGCCCAGGGGTCAGCAAAGAGCCTGCCAGGTTCCCAGAAACCAATCTGCATGGCCCTGTATCAGGTAAGTGCCTCTGCCACTCCCAGGCCCAGACTCAGGGAGTTGCAGTTTGGGAAAAGCCGAGGGAGCCCACAGCCTCCTGGGCCTCTGTATGCCACACTCCCGTTATAGAATGGGAAACTGAGGCTTGGATAGGAGTAGTGCCTTTCCTGAGTCACAGGACCCTCAACTCCGGGCCTAGCATGGTTCATGATCTGAGCTTGAGATGTTTCCCAAGGGCACTTGGCTCTAGGCACTGCCAGTGTGGTCCACCCAGGGTGTCTCTCGGGGACCAGGGCCAGCCCAAGTCACCCTCCTGCCTGCTTAGGCAAGGTGAGATCCTGGGTCCCGGAGGCCCTGATGTGTGGGGGTGGTGCCCAGTCCAGGGCAACCTCTGGTAGAGGCCAGGCCACCAACTGATAGAGAGGCTGGAAAATCAGAGGTGGGCCCGGCAAGAGTCTCCAGTGAGGACACTGCTATTTCTCAGGTGAGTCATTCTTGAACTCCAGTCCCCAGAGGCTCCGATTCCCTGGTTCCACACCTCTCACTGCTGATGAGTCAGGCTGATACTTTCTCCAGGAAGCAACAGGAAACTCTTGCTCCTTCCCTTCCACTCTGTCTCTGGGGATTCCATCTTCTCTGTCTGCTGAAAGGAGCCTTTAAGGATGCGCTACGTGTGTTTTTTTCTACTTCTCTGAGTTAACTGACAGGCTGCAGGTGAGGCTCGGGAGGCAAATCCGCCAGGGACCGGAGAGAGGAGGCAAGAGCAGGACCCTAATCAGGTGCCCCTTCCCCTCTCACCTGACCCTCTCTCCTCCCCTAGAGTTCCTGGGCCACAGAGCACCCCCCATGCTCACAACCAGTTCACAGGGTTAGAGGTACCATGGGCACCTGAGGCCTGCAGGGCAAAGCTGATCTTGAAGCCGGAGCAAGCGTCTCGATACTACCATATCATTAGCCTGAGGAGCTGGTGGCACTGTCGCCCTCACTTTATAGATCAGAAACATGGGGCTCAGAGAACTAAAGTCACTCGCCTTGGGTCATAGAGCTAGAAAGTGGTGGAGTCAGGATGGGTCCTCGGGTCCTTCCGCCAGAGCCCGGCCCCTGGCGGTGCCCGGTGGTACTAAAGTCTAACTTCCCACTGACTACCCTGTGCCTGGCTCCTACCCCGCAGAAGGAACCTGTGGATGGGGAAGCAGCTGAGGGTGAGAGAGGCGGGGGGATTTCTGGAGGTCCCAGAGCTGGGGAACAGCAGCAGCTAAGCTCCCATTCTTCCTTGAGCTGGGAGACTGGGTGTGGCTGAAGAAGTCTGAAGCAGGCACAGACCCTGAGCTGCGCCCCAGCTGCCTCAGCCTCCGGAGGAAGGTAGGGCTGTGGGGCGTGGAGGGCAGGCGGCTGGGGAGGGGGGCTGCTCGGAGACCCTTCCTGGTCTGAACTGGTGCCTACTCAACAGTTGGCCTCAGAGGGGAAGTCATTCCTGTCATTGTGATCCCGTCCATTGCCACACCTCAATCATGGCTATACACGACCATGGACACCGTCACATACCAGCGTCCCTACAGCCATGCCACCACCCCAGTATGATCATCACCACAACCACCAGGGTCACGGTCCCCTCCACCGGTGCCATCACATGGCAACTCATAGTCAAGGGGCTCCACCCTGCATTCTCCCTCCGTCTGCCCATCCCCATTTTTATTCACTGTTCATGGAGCCAGGCAAGGGTTCTGGGCTTTGGGGACACAGTGGAAAAGAGAGACAAGGTTCCTTCCCTCGAGGAGATTCAAGTCATTTGTCATCACTAACCACATAAACACCTTCACCCCTGAGACTGTCACCATTCTGGGAGGCACTGTGGGATGGAAGATGGAGCACAGGAGTTGGGTCAGGAAGATTCCAGATGGAATCCTGCCTCCACGGAACACTCTGCTTGCCTGTAACATGGAGCTGGTGATGTCCACCTCCGGGGGGGGTTATGAGGGTTGCAGAGAAATAGGGAGTAACCTAGAATTGCTCTTGGCAAGTAGTGTGCTTTCAACAAATGGTGAATTTTATGACTACTTATAATATCACCACTCTCTGAACTATCTGCTATCTCTTGGTCACGGTAGTCACAGGGCCCTCATTCCAGAGAGATTAAAGGATTGGAGGTTGAGTTAGGCCTTTTCCAGTGAGCATCTTGCAATCAATGTGAGTAGATGTTTCTTAAAAGTTTTCTTCTAAGACCAGACACCATGACTCATGCCTGTAATCCCAACACTTTGGGAAGCTGAGGCAGAAGGATTGCTTGAGGCCAAGAGTTTGAGATCAGTCTGGACAACAGAGAGCCCTCAACTCTACAAATAAATAATAATAAAACAATCAGGTGTTGTGGTGCATGCCTGTAGTCCCAGCTTCTTGGGAGGCTGAGGCAGGAGAATTGCCTGAGTTCAGGAGGTCAAGGTTGCATGATCATGTCACTGCTCTCTAGCCTGGGCAACAGAGCAAGACCCTGTCTCAAAAAAGGAGGAGGAAGAGGAGGAGAAGAAAAGTTCCTATATGTGGTCGCATGAATTTGGAAATTGCTTGGGTTTGCTATAAGACTTCTGAGAACTTTTAGTCTGCTGCTTTGGCTGTCTATTACTGGGTGACAACTCACCCCAGTTTTGTAGGTAAGAAATCAGGGCAGGGCTCAGCTGGGCAGTTCTTCCGTTCTGTTTTGTATTGGTTGGGGATCACTTAGTAAATGGGTTGTACAAGGTTGGCACTTAGGAGTAAATGGGTTGTAAGAGGTTGGCAAACTCTGGCCCATAGACTAAACCAGGCCCACTGCCCGCTTTTGTAAATAAAATTTATTGGTGCACAGCCATGCTTTGTCTATGCATTGTCTGTGGTTAATTTAGTGCTACCATGGCAGAGGTAAATAGTGTGACAGAGACTATATGGCCTGCAAAGACTAAAGTGTCTACTCTTTGGACTTTTTGAGAAAAGTTTGCTGACTCCTGGTCCAGAGGACCCAAGATGGCTTCACTCACATTCTTGGTGCCTGGGGAGGGCAGTAGGAAGGCTGGGCTCACTGGACTCATCTTCCTTCTCCATGTAGTCTCAGGGCCTCCTACATCGTCTTTCTAGTGTGGTGGCTCATCAACTCGTTCATTAGTCCATGACTTAGGTTCTTGCCTGGTGGTTTAGACTCAGGGTGGGACTTCCCGCCCAGTGGTTCACCCAGTGGTTCCGGGCTCTACCAGGGTGCTCCAAGAGACAGAAAATGCCAGCTGCCAGTCTCCTAAGACCCGAACCCAGAAAGGTACAGAGCCACTTCCACTGTATTCTGTTGGTCACAGGAGTCACAGCGCCACTCAGATTCAAGGGGAGGGGACAGAATTGTACCACTTGATGGCAGGCATGTCAAAGGCTTTGAGGTCATTCTTAAATCACCACTGAAGTTAATATACTTGCAAATCTCTAAGGCAGGGGGAGGGGGAAGGGAGGGAGAGCATACAGGTTTCCCCCTCTTAGTCAACCCTGAACGGTTTTTGTGAAGAGGGCCATGCCAGACAAGACTTCTGCCTTTCCTGCTTTGGTAAATGTCGTGTCCTTTGTTGGGTTCGAGCTTTGTAACTCGCTGGGCAGCCATCAGAGAGGCTGCTTTCTGCTTATGCCTGATCTCTTCAGTTCCTCTTCCTCCCGCTTCTATCCCTTAGTTTTGGGGGAAGAATTCATACAGTTTTGGGGTCCATGGTATTACTTAGGTTGGGAAATAGACCTACATCCCTATTCTGTGGAGTTGGCCACAGCTTATTCATTTGTTCATCTATGGTGATTTTACTCGTTCACTCATTCAAACACTCTTTCACACATCAACCCGTTCATCAGTCCATCCATCTATCCATTTGTCCATCCATCCACCATCCATCCACCCATCTATTTAGCCACCCATCCACTCATGCATCCATTGATCAATTCATTTGTCTATCCACCCATCCATTCATCAAACCGTCCGTCCGTCCATCCATCCATCCATCCATCCATCCATCCATCCATCCATCCATCCATCCATCCATCCAAACATTCATTCACGCATTCATTCATTTATCCATCCTCCATCCATCCTTTCCTTACCACCCAACAACCAGCCATCCATCCATCCATCTACCCTCCCCTCCATCCATCTCACATCCATCTGATGCCTCTCTGTGCTCAGCCCTGTGCGGGATGCTAAGCCCTGGGGGCCTAGATGTGGCTCATATCTGGTGCAGTCCTCTAAGGACCCCTGGGAGCTGCTGAGGTGCCCATTTCCCTGGCAGATGCGAGAGCTGCGGCATGAGAACGTTGCCACTTGCCTGGGCTTTCTTGTGGCTCCTGGGATCAGTGCTCTGGTTCTAGAGCACTGTCCCCGGGGCATCCTGGAGGACCTGCTGCAGAACAAGGCCCTGTGACTAGACTGGACCTTCAAGGCCTCCCTACTGCTGGATTTTATCCAGGTGAGAGCCCTTCCTGGTCGTGGAGCTATGGGGGCAGTGGGAGGGCAGGGGACAAAAGGTGCTCAGATTTCCCGCAACTGGGCTCTTTTTGTTTTGTCTAACTGAGGAATATCTAAACAGTGTGGCCAAGGGGGATAAGAGGCAGGAAGGCTTTCTGGGGCCTGTGGGAATTCTGAGAGGACTAGGAGTCCCTGTCATTCATTACAGACCTAATGGACCCCACTCTATCCACCCCAGGGCATGCAGTATCTTTACCATCGACATTTCCCTCACGGCCACCTCAAGTCCCGAAACTGTGTGGTGGACTGTCGCTTTGTGCTCAAGGTCACTGACCACGGCTACGCAGCACTCCTGGAAGCTCAGCGGGCTCCCTGACCCTGGTCAGCCCTGGAAGGTCAGGTCAGGGGCAGGCAGGGGCTGCCAGGAGGTTCTGACGCCTCTACTTGCACAGATGCCTGTAAGGCAAGGGAGGAGGGGCGAGGTCTCCAGGCCTCTGAAACTTTCCGCGATGTGACCTTGAGTACATGGCTTTTCCTCTCTAAAGGAGCCTCATGGTGGAGGGAGGGGCGATGACAGCACAGGTGTGATGCGCCTGGCCCAGTTTGGGTCATCCATGGGTGACGGCACGGTGGCCCTGCCCTGTGATTGCAGAGCTGCTGTGAACGGCTCCTGAGTTGCTGTGGAGGCCTGGGCTCTCCGGGCAGGGCACCCTCAAAGGGGACGTCTTCAGCATCGGCATCATCCTGCAGGAGGTGCTGACCCGAGGTCCGCCTACTGCTCCTCAGGACTGTCAGCGGAAGGTACGTCCTTGGCAGGAGTCTCTGTGTAATTGGGAGCTCTGCGATCATCAGGAAATCCAGGTGTAAAAATAGCCACATAGACACACACACTTCAGATGTGTTCCCCTGACACATGGGGGGAGCCTTCAGCAGCTCTGCCAACCCAGCAGCAAATCTGCGCCAGGGACTGACGTTGGCTTCTGGTTGAAAGCCCCAGCCTCCCCCTTCCTCCGCAGTGTCACTGCCACGACTGCAGGTGCTCAGGCCCTGGCTACCTGTTCCCTCCACTGCCCCCCAGCACACCCTTCGTGTCTATACGGACCTCAGTCCCACCCCCGTTGTTTCACTTACTCTGTGACAAATCATTTACCCTCTCTGAGCTTCCGTTTTCTCATCTCTGAAATGTGGGTACAGGTCAGGCGTGGTGGCTCATGCTTATAACCCTAGCACTTTGGGAGGCTGAGGCAATAGAATTGCTTGAGCCCAGGAGTTCGAGAACAGCCTGGGCAACATAGCAAGACCTTGTCTCTACAAAAATCAAAGTGCATGGTGGTGTGCCCTTGTAGTCCTAGCTACTCAGGAGGCTGAGGTAGGAGGATTGAAGCTATGGTGACTTGTGATTGTGCCACTGCCCTCCATCCTGGGTGACAGAGTGAGACCTTGACTCAAAAAAATAAAGTAAAATAAGGATCTGATATAAATATGTCAGACACCAAGCCCCGTGCCTGATGTGGCCAGGTTGCTCAATCTTTGAAGGCTTGGTTGCCTGCCTGAACAGGGCTCCTTCAAAGGGCTGGAGAATTTGAGGGGCCTAGGACAATCACTCACGTTCCCCACCACCACCTGGCCTGCAGACATTTTCTCTCCTCTCCCCCAAGGCCAGGGCCCAACTCCAGAAATGCTTCCTCCCTTCTGTGTCGTCTGTCAGGGCTCCTGGATCCCAGGCTGCCCTCCGATTGCCCATCTGCTGCCTCTGCCCAGTCCCAGGGACTTGTCCCCAAGATGCCCTGGCACCTCAGGCTGCAACACGAGGCAGTGATGGAGCCAAGCCCACTATCGTTCCCACCCTGATGGATAATCTTCAACTCACAGGAGGCCTGGCCTACTTTCTGTCTCCACCACTGCACCGTCCAGTGATTAACGAGGATCTCAGGCCCCGGATTTACGAGGTGGAGGAGAGGGCTGATCCAGCCATTTGTTCAACACTCCTCTGCTGCCTTCTCTGCATCTGCCTCTGAGTACAGGAAGCACCGGCCAGGTAAGATCTGCAAGCCAGTGCAGGGCCTCCACAGGCGAGGCCCCCTCAAGCTCTGGGTATAGTGACCCAGGCCTGGAATTCTGGCCACACTGGGATAGGGCTGTCAGTCCAGAACCTGCTGTGTCCCGAGGTATGCTCTCTCTGGCCTCAGGGAGTACAGGGTTGAGGACACACACCAATTTGCCTCACGATTTTTAGTAAATCGTTTTTAGGCCCTAAGTGTCAGTGTTCTCATCTGTAATTTGGGAACCATGATATCTGCCTTCCAGAGTAACTGTGAGGATACAGTAGAATGCTTTAGACAAAATGCCTGACACCCAGTGGGTGCTCAATAAATGTCTGCTTGGGTGGTTTTAGGAGCATGCTAACAGGGAGCCCCGGGTTCTCTCCTGACTCTGGTATTTTTGAAGATTCTCTAGGGCACTTTGCAACTCCCTAGGCATTTCCATTTGCACTATTCATTCGATAACCCAGGAGGTGGGTGATCATCCCCTTTTCAGAGAGGGGTGAAGTGAGGCTCAGAGGGGGAAGGTGCTTCTGAGAGGGGAAGCAGGGGATTTGGGTGGGAGACTCCTGACCCGGTTGGTGCCCTGACATGTTGGAGTCACCCCTGGAGCAGTCTCCCAGAGCCCCACCAGGCCCCAGAACTGGACACATGCCGTCAGCATGGTCAACCCATCATGGTAGCACATGATGTCCACTGCATGCCTGGCACAGGGAGAGCAGTACAAGAGCCGACTGGGGCTGGGCAGAGACCCCCAACACGGTCATGTGTGAAGACTCCCTGTGACTGTCGGGAGAGGCTGGAGCCTCACAGGCCACTATCTGGCTTTTCATGTCTTCTGACAGAGAAATTACCCAGGGACAGCACCTGCTTTGAAATCAGCACTGCTTTGAAATGCACGTGTGTTGTGGCTGTCACAACTGCATACTGCATACTTTTGAAACAGAGTCACCTGCATACTTTTGAAACAGAGTCGTCCATGTGTGCATGCGATGCATTATTGCTTCCATCTGCACACGGTCCTCTGTAAGCAGATCCAGCTGCCTCGGCCTGTCCTTGGGGTCTGAAGCCTGCAGGTCGGGAACCTCAGAGCCGAGGGGATCACGCGGCCTGAGTGGAAACCAGGCCCAGTTCTAGTGTCTGCTTTTTACCAGCCCCATATGGGTGCCCTCCTTCACCCCGGGAGCCTCAGTTTCCCTGTCTCTGAAATGGGACAGTGACTCATGCATTCTCCCCAACAAGGAGGCCAACAAGGGGATGGGAGGGGGACTGAAATCCAGAAAGTAGTTTCTCCTCACTGGTTCCAAGAACTCCTTCACTCATGGCAGGAGGACCCCAGCCCTCCTCAGAGGAGCTTAACCTGTTGTTCCTCATAACAACCCTTTGAGGCATGTATGATTCTTAAGTCCATCGTGTAGGTGAGGAAACTGAGGCAGAGCAGCGCTATAACTTGTCAGTGGATAATCTAGAAGTCCCATTCTGATCCATGGACCCCAGAGCCTGAGCTTGGTGTCAGCCCCTCCACCTCCCAGTCTGCCTTAGAATCTCCTGGCTCCCCCAGGCTCTCTAATAGCGTCCCAAAGCCGGGTTATTTCCATTAGTTGTTAGGTGGGGAAACTGAGGCACAAAGTAACAGTAAGTGGCAGAGCCAGAACTAGAACACTAAGCCAGATGCTATGGCTCATGCCTGTAGTCCCACACTTTGGGGGGCAGAGGCGAGAGGATTGCCTGAGTCCAGGGGTTTGAGACCAGCCAGAGCAACTTGGCAAGACCTCGTCTCTACAATAAATCAAAAAACTAGCCGGGCGTGGTGGCGCATGCCTGTAGTTCCAGCTACTTGGAAGGCTGAGGCAGAAGGATCACCTGAGCCCAGCAGGTCGAGGCTGTGGTGGCTGTGAGCGTGCCACCACACTCCAGCCTGGGTGACAGAGTGGGACTCCCATGCAAAAAAAAAAAAGAAAGAAAGAACAAGAACCTTGACTCAGCCTGGTGTGTGGACAGGAAGAGCTAAGGCCGTACCACTTGTCTTGGGGAAATGGTGATGATGATGGTGGTAAGCAGGATGTCTTGTTTGCACTTGTGGGAAGCTGGCATCAGTCTCCAGGTGGCAGGACTGGTGGAAAGAGCCACAGCATCGAGGTTTCAAGCTGGCAGCCGGACAGTGGCCGTTGTTGCCAGGCGCCAGGCACCTGCCACTAACACCTATCGTCTCCTCCCTCAGCGCCCCTTGTGCAGCAAGGCCGTTTATTAAGCTCATTACACAGATGGGGAAACTGAGGCTCAGAGAGGTCTCCCAACTCCCCTGGCTCCCAGTCTGAGACCCTTTCCCTGGCCACACCCTGGGACAGACCCAGGGAAGCAGCCATGCCATGTCCACTGGCCAGCCATGCCTGGACACAGAAGATGTGTCCTCAGGGCCAGAACCCTGTACCCCCATAGGCCTAGCTTGCCCCCTCCTGTGAGCCCTCTGGGGACCTCAGGCTCACCATCCACACGGTGTTTTGTGCAGAAACCATCAGGAAGGTGGCGACTCTACTTCCCCTGTGCCGGTCACTGGTGTCCCCTGACCACAGGCCACCCGACTGCCTCCAGCTGATGAAGCAGTGCTGGGAGGAGGTGCCAGAGGACAGACCAAGCCTGGACCAGATCTACACCCAGGTGAGTGATCCCGGAGGAGCGAGTGCTCACAAGAAATGGCCCAATTGGCCGGGCTCGGTGACTCAGCCTGTCATCCCAGCACTTTGGGAGGCTGAGGCAAGTGGATTGCCTGAGCCCATGGGTTCGAAACCAGCCCAGGCAACTTGGTGAGACCTCGTCTCTACAATAAATAAAAAATTAGCCAGTCGTGGTAGTGTGTGCCGATAGTTCTGGCAACTTGGAAGGCTGAGGTAGAGAGATCACAGGAGCCCAGCAAGTCAACGATGGGGTGGCCGTGAGTGTGCCGCTGCATTCCAGCCTGGGCGACAGAATAAGACTCCAACACAAAAAAAAGAAAAAAAAGAAATGGCTCAATCTTTCACCTCGCTTTACCCAGTGGGAGCCCCATGCTGTCGCTGGGTCCTGGAAACGCTTTGCAATGAGGAACACCGTCTAGCACTGTCAGCCTGAGGTGCGACTCCTAGCCTTCTCAAGGTGAGATGTGACTCCAACATCTTCAAGCAGAGCTTCCTCAGGACCACAAGTTCCAGGAACATTTGCCCAGTGCCTTCCTGAGTGGCTGGCCCCATGCCAAATGTCCCGCTTCCTTCTTTTAATCCTCACAACAGCCCCCAGAAGGAGCAGAAACCCGGGTCTGTCTGTCTGTCTCCTAGCACCAGAGCAGAGAGGACATTTGTGGCTGTGGAGACAGCGCCAACTCCCGAATCAGTGAAGGAAGATGCCAGGGGCCCTGGGGTCCCCCAGGTCCTCCTTGGGGACGCAACGGGAGGGGCAAGGCAAGTCTGTGTGAGCCTGTGGGTGGCAGTGTCGTGTGTGGGCCTGACCCAGTCAGTGGATGGCCCTACGATAGCAACCCTTAGGCAACAGCTTCTCACCTCCTGCCCTGCATTCCCTGGCCACTGTGGAAAGTTGCCGCGGAGACGTTCAGCAAGCAAGAGGACATCAGGGCAGGTGAGGAGGGGCAGCCAGTAGCAAGACAGACGGAAGAGAAGCCCACAGGTGTCCCTCGAGAAGCCCTCCCACATCGCATATCCGCCTTCTTACCGCCTCCCTCCCCACTTAGCTCTGGAAGACAAGAAATCTCAACTCAGAGTAAATGAGCTCCAAGGGGTCTCGGTGAGGGTGGGCAGTGGAGCCAGGATGAGCAGCCGGTTCTTAAAACGCCAGCCTGGAATCTCTCCAGGGCATCAGAGACGGGTGAGAGCTTTTGCCCTAAGTGAGAAGACTGTGGGAAAACACCCCTGCCCAAGGCTCTGTGGCAAGAAGTGTATGGGCGAACTCTGTATTCAGCATAAAGACGGTGGAGTCACATCTCGCTGAGGGGAGGCTAGGAGTCAGAATGCCAGGACTCACATGTAGACTGCCACTTACCTGCTACTTGACCTTGGGCAAGTTCATGGCTCCGTTGAGCTCAGCCTCTTTATATGAAACCTGGAAAGATAGCTGACTCTGGCCTAACTCTCCAGATATATGTGACCATCCAGTGAGATAAGTGATTTTTTTTTTTTTTGAGTTGGAATCTTACTCTGTTGCCCAGGTTGGAGTACAGTGGCATGGATCACAGCTCACCACAGCTTCAACATCCTGGGCTCAGGTGATCCTTCTGTCTCAAACCCCCAGTAGCTGGGACTACAGGCGCACATCACCATATCCAGCTAATTTTTTGAATTTTTTGTAGATATGAGTCTTGCTATGTTGCCCAGGCTGGTCTCAAACTCCTGGGCTCTAGCAATTTTCTTGCTTCGGTCTTCCAAGGTACTGGGATTACAGATGAAGTATAGGAGAAAAAACATTGACATGAAAGTCAAAAGACCTGACTTTATATTCATTTCATATTGTTCTGGGAGCACTAGCCAATGCAATTAGACAAGAAAACAAATATTAGAAAGGAAGAAGACTGTAGATGTTATTTGTAATCATGTGATTGTGTTCTTAGGAAATCCAAGGAGAACAATGCAGGGGCATTCCAAATAATCCAGTAATTCAGTGGGATGGCTGGTGATCGCCTTAGTATATACAAGACTCCAGTCTGAAACTCATCCCACCACTGTGTGCTCCCTGGAAAGTTATTTGACCTCAGATGCCTCATCCCTTCATTTGTACAGTGGTGACTCTCCATATAGTGGTGGCCTTGGAGTCAGCTTCATGTCCTTGTTGGTGTCTTAAGCTCAGCAGTTGCCACACCCACCTTTAATGGACAATACAAAATAGTTGCACTCCAGGGGCTGCTTCCACTCCCTACCCTGCAGATATTTGGCTGAGAGAAGTGGTGCCAGTGGAGGTTAGAGGTACATAGTCACACACACAGACACTCCTGCGTACACACACACACACACACACACACACACACACACACACACCTCTACACACACACACACATACACCCCTACACACACACATATCCCTACACACACTCCCCTATACATATCTATACCCACACACCCCTACACACACACACACACACACATTCCAGATGCTGGATTTAGACAAGCATGAACTCCTTGACTTTGACCATCAAAGTTGCTTCTCCTGGTGACTGCACTTTGGGGAGATGCAAGTGCAAACACATTGGAGAAGGTTCTGGTAAGTCTCCTGCCAGATTTCCTATGAGATTATTGTAAAGGTGCAGTTTGTGACCACACATAAGGGTCCTCACATAAACACCTAAGAAAGGTAATTCTCTTTGTTTGGCATTAGCTGTAGTTGTGTCTCTTTTGATCCACTAGTTTAATGCTCCAGTGTCTCTTGGACTCATGGATTGTGTAATATAGATTTTATCTTTGCTGTGTTGCTAGGAAGCTCTTATCCAATATGGTGACCAAATTCTAGCATGGATTTTGCATACAGACTTTCCTCCTGGATTTAACTTTTTTTTTTTTTAACCTTTATTCTTCTTTGGTCCTAATATCCTCACCTATTTTTTACTATTTTATGTTGTGGTGCTTTTATTTTTCCTAGTCCTTAATTTTTTTTTTTTTTTTGAGTTGGAGTCTCACTCTGTTGCCCAGGCTGGAGTGCAGTGGCACACTCATGGCCACCGCAGCCTCAACCTGCTGGGCTCAGGCGATCCTTTTGCCTCAGCCTTCCAAGTAGCTGGAAGTAGGCGCATGCCACCACGCCTGGCTATGACAGTCTGCATGTATCCTATCTATCCACCCATCCATTCATCCATTCATCTGTCCATCCATATCTAACTGTCTCTATCTATCTATCTACCTATCATCTATCTATTAGCTATCATGTATCTATCTGCCTATTGTCTAACGATGTATCGTCTATCTCATCTATCATTTCTATCATCTATTCATCCATCTTTATCTATCTATCCTCTATCTATCTATTATCTATCTGTATCAGTCATCTATTGATCTATCCATCATCTAACATGTATCTGTCTGTGTATCTATCATCTGTCTATCGTCTGTCTATCCATCCATCCATCCGTTCATCCCTCCCTGTCTATTTTTAAGAACAAATAATGCCTATCCTGCTGTGACATGAGACCCAGTGCAGTAGGGTTGGCTGTTTTCTAATGGTGGCGCTGGCTGGTACGGGCACCTTTGTGAGGTCCTCTTGCTTGCTCGGCCCACACAGGACGGTCCCATTTCTCCTCACAGCTGATCGTGCTCATCTCTCATCAGAGCCACCATCTCTGTCACTCATACATGCTCCCACAACAGTGCAGCTCCTCCAGGGAGGGACTCTGTCCGGCTCAGTCCTGTGGTCGCCTGCTTCCCAGTTGAGGGCTGGGTGTGCTGACCTTCATGGATGAATTGGGACTTTGGTTTGTTCCCTCTTCAGTTCTAAAGCATCAACCAAGGCAAGACCAGCGTGGCTGACTCCATGCTGCAGATGTTGGAGAAGTACTCCCAGGACCTAGAGGGTCTGATCTGGGAGTGAACTGAGGAGCTGGAGCTGGAAGGACAGAAGACGGAGAGGCTGCTCTGCCAGATGCTGCCCCTGTGAGTGGCCCCTGGGGCTCGAGGGTGCCTCTAGCCTCAGCTCCGAGCACAGGACCTGAAGCAGAGTTGGTGCTCAGCAAATCTCGGTTCTATGAATTCACTCATTCATGTTTACCCAACATTTTATTTATATGCAGCACATTATTTTATTTATTTGTTTTTATTTATTTTTAGAGACAGGGTCTTGCCATGGTGCCCAGGCTGACCTGGAACTCCTGGGCTCAAGCTATCTTCCTGCCTTGGCCTCCCAAGTAGCTGGGGCTACAGGCATGTCCCTCACCATGTGCCAGGGATTGTGCTGGGTATGAATTTCTGCCCTCTCATGCCCTTGGGAGCAAGGAGAGGGCACAATGCCCCATCTCACTTGAGAGAAAGCAATGCCCAGGCAGGGACAGGTGTTTGCTCCAGTGAGATCAGCACACCTCCCACCTTGTGACTCTGGCCCTTCCCATCCCTTCAGGTCTGTGGCTGAAGTCCTGAAAGTGAGGGCGACTGTAGAGCCAGAGTACTTTGACCAGGTTACCATATACTTCAGTGACACTGTGGGTTTCACCATCATCTCAGCCCTGAGTGAGCCCATCGAGGTGGTGGGCTTGCTCAACGATCTCTACATGCTGTTTGATGCTGTTCTGGGCAGCCATGACGTGTATGAGGTGAGTATACCAGGAGGCTGGTGATTCCTCCTTGCCTTTCCTACGGTGTCTATGTTGTAGATTTACTTCCATTCCTTTATGTGTGTGTTTGTATCAGTTAGCTATTACTGTGTAACAAATAACCCCCAAACCCAACAGTGTAAATGATATGCATTTATTACTGCTCACAAGCCTATGGGTCGGCTGGAAGGTTCTTCTGGACTCACTCATACATCTGTGTCAGCTATGGGTGAGGGAGGCTGCTCTGCTGATCTTAGCTGGGTTCTGTCACATCTCAGAAGCCTTGGCTGGCAAACTCAGTTCTGGTCCATAGATCTCTCCTCCTCCAGCAGGCTAGCCTGGGACTGTTTTCATGGCGTGGCTTGTTTACATGGTGTAGTCTGGGACTGTTTCCATGATGTGGCAGGGTTCTGAGAGAGACGACAGAAATATGCAGGCCTCTTGAGATCTGACCTAGGGTCAGGCACCTTGCAGCTTCTGATGTATTCTATTGGTCAAAACGAAAGCCAGCCTAGTTCCAAGAGGTGAGGAGATAAACCCCACCTCTTGATGGGAGAAGTTTCCAAGTCATACTGCAATAGAGTGAATATGAAGAAGGAGGGAGCATGGGGGCCATTTTGTATTTAACTGACCACGGTGTTCACTTGTCCACTGGTCACCCATCCATTCCTGTACAATTTTTATTGGCAGGGTTTTCTTTGCCTGATGCTGTGCTGGGCACAGGCAGACAGATGTGTCAGCTCCTGTCCCCACCCTCAAGGAACTCTCAGTCCTGTGGGTAAATGGGACGACCTGCAGTGAAAGTATGAAAGTGGTCATCCAGGGAGGCAGAGGAGGCTGAGAGAGCCCCAGTTCAGCCAGGAGTAGGAGTGTCAAGAACAGGGAAGACTTCCTGGAAGAGGTGCCGCCTTCCCAGCACTGTCCAGTCTGGGCATGACTACTCCAGGCAGGCAAGAGGGGAAGAATGTTCTGGAACTTGAGGCCAAGAGGGTCTGGTGAGTGCAGGAGCACTGAATGGGCTGGGATGCTTGGATGTGAAGTCCGCCAGCAGAGGGGAGGGGAGGGAACACTGGAGAGGGCAGTGGGGGCCTTGGCAGTGCCTTCAAGGCCTTCCCCACGCACTTCTCTGTCCTGGGTCTGAGTCCCAGCCTGGCCACCAGCTTGTGTGTGGCTTTGGCTTAGTGGTCTCCTCTCTCTGGGCCCGTTTCCTTGACCGGGGACTTGAGTAACGAGCACCGTCCTGGCAGGGCACAGAGGCAGGGAGGATCTGCCCCCACAGAGAAGTGGGTGTGAGCCGTGGATGGCAAGGGCAAGTCGCCTCCTGCCTGCTGCTTTTCAGCTCTGCCCCTGCTGAGGAGGCACCCAGCCCAACCCTGCCCCTCATTTGGATTCAGGAGCCGGGGCCTTGGTGGAGAAGGTGGGGAGGGAGGTCCCAGGAATCACCACCCCCGGCTCCATTGGTCTTATCCTCAGTGTGTGACCCACCAGTCCCCGTCCAACCACAGCCCCCTCAGGAGGCAGGGGCAGGGAGGGTCAGGCCCTCAGGGCTGGAGCCAGGCTGAAAAGGATGCCTGGGAAGGGAGTTTCTGAGGACAGAACCAACTCTTGAGGTGCCCGGCGATCGGCAGACAGCGCCATTTATAGTATCCCTATAACAATAATCACCAACACTTATCGAGCGCTTACTGTATACCAGATGCCAATGTTAAGTGCTTTATATGTATTAACCCGCCGATTCAGTAAAACAATTTGTGAGGTAGGTACTGGTACCCCTAATTTACAGATGAGGAAAATGAGGTGACAGAGGCCAAGTGGCTTATTGGGTAACATACGCGAGGGGACCCCCCCAAAATGGAATTTATTTATTTAAAAATTGTGTACTTATTCTTCCATGTTTAAACTTCAGTCACCTTCAAAGCACGCTCCGTTTGATGCAATACACCTATTGAGACTTTTTTCCACTGCTGAAAACGGTTTTGAACTTGTCAGTTTGGATGCCTTTCAGTGCTCCTGCCGTTTTTTGTTTCACCTCTTCCACATGAGCAACACGTTTCCCTTGGAGGACTTTTTTCATCCTGGGAAAGAACAACATAAAGTCACTCAGGGAGAGACTGAGTGAAGAGGGAGGGTGGGGAACAGGGGCTATGTCATTTTTGGTCAAAAACTGCTGAACACTCAAATCACCCATCGTGAAATGGGCAAACGCGTTCACGAGTTGCCAAAAAAAAATTCACTGAAGCTGAACACAGCCTTTCACACCAAGGCTCGCTGGTCCACTGATGCCGATGGGTTCCTAGAGCCCTTACGTAGTGGAGGAAGCCTGTACTACCAGGGGCCGGCTCTCCAAAGGATAATTCTAGTTTTGGGGGGTCACCCCTTGGATTCCCAGTGGGATGTGAAACTGAGACTTGAACTTGGGAGTTCTTCAGGGAGGCTCATCATTCCCAGGATGTGGACATCTTCAGGATAAAGCTACAGGTTCACAGTGGCCCGCAAGCCCTCCAGGAGCTGGCTCCTCCTTCCTCTTAAGTGGGTCTCCAGCCACAACCCCTCTGTAGACCCCCAGCTTCCTCACACACGCTTTGCTGTCTCTACCACCAGGCCTTTGAACATGCTGTTCTCTTCTCCTAGAACACCACTCTCCCTCCTCCTCGCCTGGCTCCCTCCTGGTCATCTTTCTGGCCTCAGGTCTGCCCTCTCACCCTCCCAGACATGGTTAGGGGCCCCTGTCTGATGCTCTCATGACTCCCCCTGGGCAGCATGCTACGTTCCCACCCTAAGTTACTCTGTCTCCAGTGCCCGCAGTGTCCAATGCACGGCAGAAACTCAGGAAGTGTCTGGTGTCTGAATGAGGAGGACACCGAATGGGAGGTGACCTGCCTGGAGTCACATAGCTGGTAAGCAGCAGAGCAGTGACAGGAACCTGCCATGTCCACCACTGGCGCTCTGTCCAGGGCACCCCCGGGCCAACCCAGCCCCCACATCCAAGGATACAGCTTCCCTCGGGTGGCCCATGCGGGAACCCTTGTCTCTGCACTGGCCCCCAGTCCGCAGGCGTTGCCTCCAGAGCCGCGCTGGCCCCTGGAGCCCCAGGAGAAGATTCCTCCCCTCGTCTGGCGGAACCCCACCGCTTTGATCTGCCCTGAGTCACCCTGGCCCTGTCTCCTCCTCCCCTTCTCATCTCCCCCCACGTGTGTGTCCCTCCCAGCTCTGAATCACGCCTCCCGATCTGCTCTGAACTCTGGCCAAGAGGTCTGCATCTTGCTGGCGGAGCAGAATGAAATAAAACAAGGCCCGCACACCCCTCCAGATGTGAGAAATGTGTGAGCCCGTCTCTCATCACTCGCGCCATCCGCCTCGGTTTCCCCTCCATCCCCAGCAGGATCTGGTTTCTCTCTTTAATCCAGTCCTGGTTGGGCGCCAGCCAGGCACTCATTTCCTGGTTCTGAGGGGTCCGCGCCCCCCTCCCTCACGCTGAGTGAGCGCTTTTATGGACACAAGTCCAGAGCAGACCTCCTCCTCCCCACCCTCACCCCCACCCCCACCCTCCACCATGGTTGGGGGGGACTCACCCAGCTGCCCGGCCTGGGTGCGAGTCTTGTCCTGGTTGTCACCTCCCTGAGCCTCAGTTCCCTATTCGTAGACTGGGGAGGAGAGTGTCTGTGGCTTAGCATGTGAGAGAAAGTGCCATTGTTCATTCACCCACCACCATAAAGTGGAGCACCTGCCAGCACCAGGAGCTGGGTTCCCCCCTGGAGGCGTAGAAGAACAGGGGCCCGTACCTGCAGAAGGCCGATTTGGTCTGGGGGTTGTCATAGGGCAGCTCATTTAAACTCCCCCAACCTTGTTTGTTTTTTTTTGAGTTAAGATCTCATACTGTTGCCCAGGCTGGAGTGCAGTGGCACAATCACCGTTCACCATAGCCTCGACCTCAGGCGATCCTTCTGCCTCAGCCTCCTGAGTAGCCGAGACTACAGGCACATGCCACCATGCCTGGCTAATTTTTAATTTTTCTGTGGAGATGAGGTCTTGCTATGTTGCTCAGACTCATCTCAAACTCCTAGGCTCAAGAAATCCTCATGCCTTAGACTCTCAAAGTGAGTCAGGTGTGAGTCACCATGCCCAGCTTTAACTCTTTCAATGCCCCCAGGGGGTATGGATGATCTTCCCTAGTATACAAATGAGGACACAGACTCAGAGAGGGTAAGCAACTCTCCCGGGACCACACAGCAAGTCAGTGGTGGAGTTAGAATTCACAGCTGCATTTGTCAGATGGAATCCATTGCCCTCACCTCTCCTCTGGCTATGTCCTGCCATCTGTGGAAGGAGACATATCTGTGTCCAGGAGCCACAGTGCTCATGTAACCTGGAGCCCACTGTGACAGGCGTCAGAGTGCGTCACATTTAGGAGTCTGAGCCCCCAGAGGTGGGCCCATACCTGGCCATCTTCCTGCCTCTGGGGGTGGAGGAGTGGTTACTCATCACCCTGCACTCTCCTTTCCAGCTCAGGTGTCAAGCAGCTCAGAGATCAGAGATCAGCTTGGGCAGTTCGGAGAATGGGTCTGGATGTCTGGCCACCATGGCTTTCTTCTCCTCCTCCCCGGTCTGGGCTGTGAGGCACCCTGTGAGGCAGAGTGAGGTCCCCAGAACAGGTGCGCCCCCTGAATCACAGTGGCACGCCTGGTGGGCCAGGAGAGGCCAGAGGTCAGCAACCTTCAGAGCTACCTCCTGCCTGAAGCCTGGACTGGCCATGGCCAGACAGGAGCAGAGCCTCCCGGGAGAGACAGGAAGGGCCCGAGCCAGGCGTCTCCGGGGCAGCGCAGTGCATGGACTCAGGAGCTACCCTGATCGAGCTCAGGTTCACACCCTCACTGTGCTGTGATCTTGGCAAGTGACTTAAGGCCAGTGGCCCAGTTTTTATCTGTAAAGGAAATTTATATCCTAGAAGCCTTGTGAAGATGGAATGAGCTCATGTGTGTAAAGTGTTTGGGGCCGTGTCTGGCGCATAAGCACTCTCTGGGTGTTCAAGAGCTTACTTAGTCCTTCTTCCAGTCTTGCCAACCTCATAAGGCATTCCCCCTCCGGTAGGGAAGGAGGAGGGGAGGAAGAGCCGGGGGCTCTCATGCTTTTCCCTCTTGGGGCGTGGTGTGGAAGGTCTCTCTCCTTTGTGGAAAGGTGCACAACGGGGGTGGCAAGGTGACATCCCTGGCCCCAACCTCTCCACGGCTGGTCAACAGCCAGCAGGCCACAGGGCGGGGGAGGAGGGAGACATCTTTCTCCCAGCTGGTGACTAGGAAGATTTTGTGGACTAGAACAATGTGAGTATTAGAGGTAAATTCTTGACCTCTGATACTCATTCCACGTAAGGGGAAACTGGTGCTCACACAGGTGAAGTGGTCTGTCAAGGTGAATGCAGAGCCAGGGCTCAAACCTCTATCTGTCTGATTCCAAAACTGACATTCTTTCTGGAGCTGATGGAGGGTAGGATTCCAACAGAAGGAGGCTGGGGAGAGCTTTTCAGGCAGAGGGATCTGCGATCCAGTTCTCGAAGTTGGCAAGCACAGAGTGTCTCTTAAAAGGTGAAGCTTGGGGAGCCAGGAGCCACCATTAGCAAACAAGTCAGGAGCGTCTGCAAGTCGAGAAGGCCCTGAATGGTGGGCCATGGGAGGTGGGCTATAAATGTTCAGCCATTGGCCACAGGGACCCTATGTGAGTACACGTCAGAGTGGAATGTGCTGTGCTTAGGGTGGGTCACCTTGCTGTGGTGGGGGAGAGGAGAGGTGAGGGGGCATAGGGAGTGGGCACAGTCCCCATGCGAATGTTGTGTGAGGCTTATGGAATCCCTGCACCCCAAATGGGCAGGGGAACCATCGCTGTCCCTTCCCCCAGGTGCTGAGAGAGTGCAGGAGTGCCCAACAGGGGGTGCTGCTGCCCAGACATGGGCGGGGCTGGGGGGGTGGTACAGTATGGAAAGACGCAGGGCTAGTCGGACTTGGCCTTGGCAAGTTTGTGGCCGGAAGGAAGGTCATGTCTCACTCACACCAATGTCCCAAGCACCTGCCGCAGGGCCTTGGAACAGAGAGGTTGCTTGGGAACAGGTGTGAGGGTCAGGGGCAGGAGGCGGAACTGGAGCCAGGTGAAAGGCAGGTTTAGGTGGGACATGCCTCGGGGGTGGGAGACAGGTGGAGTCCCTTCCAACTGGGAGATAATGGGAGCCGCTCTTCTCCAAAACCTTGAGGAGGGGGAGGACTCTGTCTATTCTGCCCTGATATGCCTGCTTTAACTACTTGACTCCTAGTATTCATTCCACATAAGGGGAAACTGAGGCTCATACGGGCGAAGCGATCTGCAGGTGAATGACAGAGCCAGGTTTGAACCTACATCTGTCTGCTTCCAGAACTGACATTCTCTCCAGTGCACCTTGGAAGGCCGGCAGGATGGAAGATGGGAGGTGTCCCGTGTGCATGGCTCTCTCCTGCGGAGCCCTGACCTGCTGCTGTGGCCTTGTGCCAATGGGGCTCTTGGGTCTGCTACCAAGGAGCTCATGGTCTGGGGCCAGAGACAAAAAAGGTCGCCGGCAGCACCAGGCCCCCTGAATGGGCAGGTCTGATTTGTGCTGGAGCAGTTGGAACCAGAGGCCTGGCAGGGGTGGCCCCGTGGGCCAGAGACCCCAGGGGTGGGCTGGGGCAGCTCCCGAGGTGGCCTTGTGTGGCCGGATGTGGGACAGGCTGGGGGATGTATTCTGACACTGGAGTGTGAAGGCTGCCGTTTCTAGGTGGAGACCGTCGGGGACGCCTACAGGGTGGCCTCGGGACTGTCTTGGCGCAGCGGGAGCTGGCATGCAGCTGAGGTCGCCAACATGGCCCTGGACATCCCGAGCTCTGCAGGCGATTTCTGGATGAGGCATGCACCCGACGTGCCTATTTGCATCAGGGCTGGCCTGCATTCAGGCTGGGGACCGTGGGGTGACAGTTAGGAGCAGCCTGGGAACCCTGAGGGTGAGGAGCCAGGTCAGTCTCCCAGCCTTCCCTGGGGCATCACCTGGGAAACCCCTGCTGGCATGCTTCTGCACGTCTGAGAGTCTAAACCTCTGGGATAGTCCAGCTATTGGGAGGCTGAGGCGAAAAGATGCCGAGTCCAGGAGGTCAAGCCGTGTGATGAGCCATGATCACGCCACTGCACTCCAGCCTGGGCAACAGAGTGAGATTCCAACTCAAAAAGAAAAAAAAGAAAGAAAGAAAAAACCATTTTATAATTTTTCCCTCCTATTATTTGAAGGTTTCAATGTGTTATAAATCAAAGAATCTGTGATGCTAAGACACACACACATACACGGGGGGACCCCAAAACCCTGAAATTTATTTATAAAAAATGGTGTATTTATTCTTACATGTTCAAACTTCAGTCACCTTCAAAGTATTCTCCGTTGGATGCAATACACCTATCGAGATGCTTTTCCCACTGCTCAAAAACGGTTTTTGAACGTGTCAGTTTGGATGCCTTTTAGTGCTCCTGCCGTTTTTTGTTTCACCTCTTCCACGTGGGCAACACGTCTCCCTCTGAGGACTTTTTTCATCTGGGGGAACAAAAAAAAGTTGCTCAGGGAGAGACTGGGTGAAGAGGGAGGGTGGGACACTGGGGCCATGCCACTTCTGGTCAAAAACTGCTGAACACTCAGCACAGTGTGAGTAGGTGCGCTCGTAAATCACCCACCCTGAAATGGGCAAATGCATTGAAAGAATCTCAAAGGAAAAAAAAAGTCACTGAAGCCAAACGCAGCCTCTCACAACAACGCTAGCTGGTAGTGATGCCGATGGGTTCCTAGAACAATCACCTCGCGGGGCAAGCCTGTGTGCTACAAGGGGTCCACCCTCTGAAAGATCATTCTAGGTTTTGGGGAGTCACCCTCATTCATATATATGAGGGTTTTTTGTTTGTTTGTTTTTTGTTTTGGTCTCAGCATCTGTCAAAGGCATCTAAGTCCACGTTGAACAGCTGATAGTCTGATGGAAGACGCAGGACAGAATCCTGTGTCTGTAAACAGCTAAATGTCTGCTGAGAGGGCCTGGGAGAGAGCCCAGAGTCTCTAATCCGCCCTTCCCATACCCCACCCCTTCTTCCAAGGTTCCCGTCACCTGCAGGATAAAGTCCATATTCACCGCTCCCCCGCCATAGTCCCCGAGTCCCTTGCTCCCTGCTCTGGTCTCATCTCCCACCGTGCCCTGCTGGGCCCTCCATCCATACTCAGCTGCTCGCAGTTCCCCTGCACCGGTGGGCTCTCTGCCTCTGTGCCTCCTGTTTCCTGCCCACTTGGTCCCTCATCCTTCAAGACATAGCTCATGTGTCACCCCCTCCAGGAAGCCCCCCCCAGAGCTGAGATAGGGGTCCTTTTCTGGGCTGGCTTTACAGGTCCTGCACTCTCTAACGTGTCTCCCTCATTGCAGCCTCGATCACAGGTGACACACCTCTCCCCGCTGCCCAGGAGCAGGGGCTGACGCTTACAGATCCGGGTCCCTCACCCCCAGCCCAGAGCCCGGCGCATCCTCTCTGGATGTCACCGGAGACTCTGGGTAGTGCTGTCCTCGCCCCCCAACTGCAGCCCAGGATGTGTGTGGGGGGGACGCAGGGAAGAGGGGAAGGGTGAGGCTGTCAGCTCTTGGGGCATATTTGCATTGCAGGGCCCAGTGTGGCAGGGGTCGTGGGTCTCACTATGCCCCGGTACTGCCTCTCTGGGGACACTGTCAACACTGTGTCCCAGATGGAGACCACGGGGCTGCATATCTCATAAGTCTGTCCTGTTCAGAGGAGGGACTCAATAACTTGTGTACCCGGCTCTTTAAAGTAGTGCTCAATAACCAAACCACCACCTGGTGGCAGCATACCCTAGCTACGGATAAAGCAACTGGAAGGAGATGATGTGTGTCCTTGGTCCTTTTCCATGGAGTTTGGGGATGATCTCATGAAGGAATTAGCAGAGAAAAGAGTGACCCAAGAGGCAGGAAACTTGGGTCCTAGCCCTGCGGCTGGCTTGCTTCATGTCCTTGAGCAAAATACTCTTCTTGTAGCCTTGGTTTCCCCATTGTGCGGGAGGAGACCCTTTAAAGTGTCAATTTTTGCTCAGCCACATGCCCACTCCAGTTATGCTGGGGCAGCTGACACCACCACGAAGGCATCCCTGACATTTTTGGCCCTTGCTGGCAGCAGGAGCTACCATGATGGCTTGGTGAGAGCAGCTGGAAATGTTAAAGTCCTAGGGCCTCTGCTTCTGGTGGATAGGTTGTATACTCCCTTGCGTTGCTCAGTGCACAGCCTGCATAACCAGACGTGGAAGCCCTGCTCTTGAAATAAAAATAAAAACTTTGTGTCTGACTCAGCCTTCACAGACTTCCTTACAAGTAGAAGTGGTGTCTCTAGGAGTCCTGACTTCATCTTGAGTTTCCTCAACATTCAATCTGTGAAACTTGCTTTTCCTCGGAGTCTCTTTCGGGAACGAGAGAGCCAGAAGAAGGGTATTGTGCAAATCCTAGTTCTGTGTATGACTGGTTGGAACTGTAGCTGTTGCAGGCTCTTAGCGATTTTGCCAGATACTAGGTATGCTGTCACCAGGTGGTGACATGCTTATTATCTTTCCGCTCAGCATACAGAATTCATGTCAGCCAACGCACTGTCCAGACACTGCTCAGCCTTGATGAAGGTTACAAAATTGACACCAGAGGTCAGACTGAGCTGAAGGTGAGAGAATCTCCTGGTCTTGGTGGGAAAATCTCCAAGGGTTCAGTTTCTGTGGGCTGCAGGAATGATTCCCATCTGATTGGTGTGACTGCCTGGAGTTGGGGGTGTAGCTGACCACCTTACATGCCCTCTCTGCTCCCCACATTCTAAGGAAGCATTTCTCCCTGGGAGCCATTTGACTCCTCGTGAGAGGTTGGGCCAGGGCAGAGAAGTCGCTTCTGTCGATGACCTATCTACGGAGCACGCTGGTGCATGACACATATCAACATGTTTATTACTCGTAGCAACAATGAAAGGATTACACTTGTCTCCATTTTATAGCTGAAGAAATTCAGTAAGAGAGACAAAGTGACTTGTGAAAGTCACGGAGCTCATAACCCAGGTCTGATGGCTTCAAAGCACATGCCTTCTCCGTTGCACTGTTGGGCTCCTACTCATCCCTCAGAACCCCAGATCAGACATCACCTCTCACTGAAGCATGCCCTGACCCGAGAACACCCTTCCTTCTCCTCCTTTCCCCCAGCAGTGACTGCCATGCCTTCTGTGTGTACCCACCAGTCCCACAACCAGCCCTCTGCGATTATAGTGTGCCATTGAGTTCTTGGCATACCATACCCACCTCAAAGGCAGAGAAAGTTCTGTAACCTCTGTGTTCTTTTCCTTTGTTTTATTATTTGTTGATTTACTTTTGTGGAGATGGGGTCTCGCTATATTACCCAGGCTAGTATCAAACTCCTGGTCTCAAGTGATCCTCCTGCCTTAGCCTCCCAAAGGGCTGGGATTATAGGCGTGAGCCACCATGCCTGGCCTGCCTTCTTTTTTTTTAATGTGAACATATGATAAAGGGAATAGTCCGGTAGTCCTATGGATGACACTTCATCCTTCCCCATCTCTTCTTATTCCTTTGATTCCTCAGCTGGAGCCAGGTCTGGCGGGGAGACTGGAGCAGCCTAGTTTAAAGGCAGATTGGACCCCAGAGATTGGGTCTCCATGGGACTCCTCATTTCACTACACTGTGGAATGTCAGAGTAGCAGGGGTAGATCAGAGACGGGCAGTGACTTGCTTGTGGTCACACAGCCTGTGGAGGCCAGCATCTTTGCTCTGGGTGGCTGGGGTTGGGGAGAGTGCACTGGAATACCTCAGGGCAGGTAGGTCTTGTTGGGGGGTGGAGGTGGGCACTGGGTGTCCCTGAGGAACAGAGGACTCTCATGCCCCTCACCCCTAACCTCTAGGCGGCTGCACTCCATCCCAGGCGAGCCCACCACATCCTTCGGTAGTGGAGGCTGGAGAGAACCCCAGAGGGTGGAATCCTGGGGTCTTAGCACGCCAGACCTGCTCATCGTACAGCTCAGGACTTCTTATTTGTTAACAGAGAAATACTCACCTATTTAATCCTTATAGCTTTATGAGATACTTTATGAGGAAACGGAGGCACAGAGAGGTAAAGTGAGTTGCCTGAAGTCACACAGCGAGGAAGTGGCAGAGTCGGGCTCTAGGCGGCCCTCCGCCAAGCCATGGGTGTCACACGCTCTGCCCTTGCTGTTCTGGGAGGAGACTCCTTTGCGGAGGCTCTTGCAGGATGGCCTTTGCATCCCCCCCCTCTTCCAGGGAAAGGGCATAGAGGAGACCTACTGGCTGGTGGGGAAGGTGGGCTTCCCCAGGCCCCCCCCACACCTCCGGACGTCAGTCTCGGGTGAGTGATTGCCCGGACTCCTGTTTTACATTTGGTATGTGTTATCTTTCTGCTTATCAAAGGATTGCCTGCTTGGTGTGGAAACTTGAAAAATACAGAATTCTTCAAATATTCGATCATCGCCATCTTTCCCTCCTGCGAGACGGCTGGTGCGGGCACCTGGGCCCGGTCCCGGCCCGCCTGGTTGGGGGCGTGTGGCGCGTGAGGTCGTGTCCGGGTTCCCCTCATCCGGTCTGTGCTCTCAGCTCAGCGTCTGGAGCCCCGTCCCGTGTCGTTCAGGGCACATTAGGAATATGCTTGTCGTGCCCGCGTCGGGACTGCAGTGTGGACTACAGTGTGTCTGAGGGGTGCAGAGCCCGGCCCTTCCTGCTGAGCGCACAGAATCGCCCCCTGAGCTGACTGCAGGTCGTGATGTGACAAATAGGATTGAGCATTTGTGGCTGTTCAGACTATTTCCGCAGATAATGAGTTTTTAGGCCAAAGGGCGCCCACGTGAAGCTGATTCTCAGAGAGTTTGTGCCTGTGTGGCTCTTCCTTCTGTCCTCTGTCCTTGGGACCCCATGTCCCTCACTGAGGGCAGCAGGGGTGGGACGGGGGGAGAGCAGTGACATCCCATCACACCCTTCCACCCCATCCGTAGGTGCTTTACAGGGGACTGGAGGGCAAGGGACACAGGTGTTGCTGACTGCCAGGACCACGGGGGCCGACTGGCTCCTTCCGCCAGTGGGAGGCTGAGCCCAGAGATGGCAGGGCCGCATGCAGGGGGCTGCAGACCACATCAGAGCTGGGGCCAGGGCTCGGGCGTGTTGTGATCTTGCCCAGAACATTCCCTTCATCCAGACTTGCAGCTGGCTCTTCCCAGCTCTCCGAGAGGCGCCCCGTGCAAGGCCGCCCCTTCCCATGGGGCAGAGACAAGTCGCATGTGGGACGCACATGGGCTTCCTGGGGAAGGAGCAGGGTTGAAGAAGCCCAGTCTGTGCATCCCCCACCAGGCAGGACTGATGTGGACAGGGCTAGTCACCGCAGCCAATTCCCTTCTGCCCCGCTGCCCAGGCCCCAAGGCCTCAGGACTCCGGGGAGCCTGGGGCAGAGCGGCGCCTGGGGCCAGGAGCAGCCCCTGGCCACCTGATCCCCCTCACCACACACAGCGGGGTCCAGAGGGGCTCCCCGCAAGGAAGGGTGAGTGGAGGAGCAGACGCCCATGTGGGGCTGGAAGCTTCTGTATACAGAACACACAGCTGTGCCCTGCAGGGCGGGCAGCGTGCACTGAGGACCAGCTCAGGTCTAGGGGCAGGGGCGGAACCCCGGCCTGGGCACTGGCTGGCTGTGTGGCCCCGGGCACATCTGGCCCCTGAGGCCCACTGGGATCTTCTGCAAAAATCAGATCCCCTCCTGGGCGCCACGGCCTCTTGGCCCCTTCCCTTGCATGGAGGTCCCCTCCTCCAGCCTGTCCTTCCTTGAGGCAAGCCCTCCATGGGCCTCCCCTCCAGCCTTGCCCTCCCTGTCCTGGCCTTCGCGGGAGCTGAGCTTCTAAGAAGCTACAATCACACCACTGCACCCCAGCCTGGGTGACACAGCAAGACCGTTCTCTAAAAAAGTTAATAAATAAGAGCCACAGAGAGAAATCAGCTAGAGGGGCACAGCCTGCGCTCTCTAGTGTGCCACAGACCCTACCACTTCCTGTTACTCTCCAACACTGCAGCTAAGGGTCAAGTCCGTTTAGCACAGCACTTACAGCTTTGTTCCTCACCCCCTGCTCCTTCCCCTCACCTTACCCCTGTCCTGTTCCAGGTGCAGTTCACTTTGTGAGCCTCACGTAAAGACAGTCGGTGGATGCACAAAGGTCAGAAATTGAACTACAGGGAGTGAAGGCCGAAAAAATCTTGCAAGTGATGGGACACATGTTTGATTTCCGACTACACCATCTACTTACTGCACAGCGGTGGGCAAGGTGCCCTGGCTGTGTTTCTGAACGGAGACTCTGGGACTAGGTAACTGCAAAGGTGAATTCCAATGTTGGCCTTCCTTAAAGTTAGGAAGGTATTTCCCGCTGCTGCCAGCCTGCATGGGCTTACCTGTATGATCAAGGCCAGGACAAGAGGAAACACTGACACTAGGACCTAAGGATGGCCTGCAGTCACACTCTACCCAGTCCTCAGAGACCACACAATCAGAATCCCCACCACACACCTAGCGCTGAATCAACCCAGGTCTCTTTGGAGTCCAGGGAACATCTTCTCTGATGCTGGCATGACAGCTACCCCTTTTAACGGAGGGAAAGCAGGTCTTGGGCTCAGAGCAGCCCAAAGGTTACAGCACAACTGTGGTGAAATGACATGCTAGGGTGGGTGTCAGCCTGGAATCTTTGCTCTGAGCTGCCCTGTATTTCTGACTTATGGGAGTGGCTTTATTACACCTTCAGTAGTGAGAGATTCCTTTTAAAGTCAGGTCAGTTTTCATAATTGCATAATAACCCTCACGCAGATATGGAGACATGTAGGACAATTTTTGTTTTTACACTACTGTGTTCTTGCTACATTTTTTAAAAGACAAAGCAATTTAAACAACCCAAATACAAGAAGAGAATGCCTAAAGTACAAAGGATTGCATAAAAATAATAAGCCAGTGTACACTGCAACATAGAAAAACATAAAAACGTAGGATAACATCACTGAAAAAAGCAGAATGCTCAATTTTCCTATTGCAGGGCACAGCTAAGTCAGTATTTGCAAGAATAGGAAGAGGGGCAAAAGGGAACATGGGAAAGCAGAAGGTGATATATGGTTTTTTGTTTGTTTTTCCTAGACAACAGGATATTGAGAAGACAGAAGAGCTCCCACAGTGGGAGGGGACCCGAGGGGGCTACCCGTATATCTTTTCAAGCAAGTTTCTTCATGGTTGTTATAATGCAGCTTACATAACAATATTTCATTAATATTTTAATATTTAATTAAAATACTGATGGAAAGGAACCTTCAGGTAGCAAGTAGTTTGTGGAGAAGGAGGAAACTCACAAAGGTAGCATGGAAATGACTAGAAGTTGCAGGATGAATCAGAGAAGGGAAAGACCTTGCTAATTACAGCTTCTTAAAAACTCCATCCCTGAACCACACAATGGCCCAGATGAGGAAGTAAAACCAACAGGGGAACAGATGGCTCAAGCTCACCATGGCCACACCCTTGGCCTCCTGGTAGGTCACCTTGATGACATCTGCAGTGCTGGTGTTGAGAAAGAAGTAGCCTGAACCTTCCTGGATGCAGAGCTCCACCTAGAGGAGGGAGATGCAGGGAGGGGTCAGGCTGCGTGTTGGAGGGTGAGGAGTAGGGGGATGGGGAACCAGGGCGAGGGGCCGGGCACAATGGTGGGCAAGGCGAGTGCCGTACCTGGACGCCAGGGTGGTTGTAGATGGTCACCTCTCCTGGGCTCACTCTCACCTCCTCCACCTAGAGCTTCGCCTCCAAGCTCGGTGGAGGCTGGCACGGGCACAGGAAGGTCATGCTGAAGGGCAACGCCCAGACCTAGATGCCAGGTCGGGGACCTGCTTCTGGCCACCCATCACAAATGGAACACACGACCCTGGTGCTCCTGAGCCCAGACGAATGGCCACGTCCCCTTGGAGGCCGCCTCCCTTCATCCTGCCTTCCGCTCCAGACACACTCTGCCCTTCAGGGCCTCACAGCAAATGGTCGGTTCAGAGCCTGCGGTGCATACCACGTGGGGGGCCGGTGGGGCTGAGCGAGCAGTAAAGCCGATGGCCAGGCCAGGGAGTAGGGCAGGGACACGTGGAAGAGTCATCCCAGCTGGCTCACAAGAGGACAGGACGGCCCTCATCCCTTGGGCGACACGCTACCTAGCTCTGCATCCTGCCACGCGACACCCGAGGGAGATGCCGGGGCCGACCCAGCTCTGGTGCACCCTCACAGTGGCATATTTGAGCACCGCTCCTGCGTCACACATGTGAAAGGCACCAGGGGCGCAGGGCCTGCCCTCAGGGAGCAACTACTGTCACACAAGGATGAAAAGATAAGAGTGTGCGAATGACAAGGCGCCCCAGTGTGCGAATGACAAGGCGCCGCCAGAGTGCAGTGCAGGTGACAGGCAAGGCGGGGTCTGGAGGAAGCGCAGCTCTCAAGGGAGCGAGACCTCAAGGTGAGGACCTGAGCGGCTCAGAATCAGGGCAGCCCCCAGGGCAGGGGACCCCACAGGGTCGAGAGTGTGAGTACAAAGGGCCTGGGGGGACCTGTCGGGGTCTTAGGCCCTAGCCAGGAGGCTGTGACACCCCTCCCCACAACCAAGGGAGCCCTGGTGCCAGTGAGACAAAGAAGGGAGTCAGCCATCAGGGACAGGCCCAGGCGTGCCCCTTCAGTGGCCCCCTCCCCAGTTTAACTCCCACTGGGGTCCTGGCCTCTTCAAAAGCTTTCCACCCAGAAGACAATTTCAGCGCCTCATCCTGACATTTGGGGTCCTTAGTAATTCTGGCCCATCCTCCCTTTCTAGCCATCTTACCCAACACCTTACCCAACACCTAAGCTTGCTGAAGGCGGCTCCGCACCATGTGCGGCTGTCATCCTGGAGGGTCCATTATGGAGCAGCCCTTCCACTCCACTGCAGATGCGCCCGTTTGCTCCCTACCAGTAGTGCCTCTGCCTGGGGCCCGCAGGAGAGGCTGAGTCAGGGAGGGGTGACTCGGCAGACAGCGGCCCATGTTTCAGATGGTGGAAACAGTGAGTGCATGTATGGTGGAAGGTTTCTGAACCAAGACAGCAGGACGCTCAGGAGCTTAGGGATCCAGGTCATAATACACCACGTCCAGGGCTCGGGGATGCTCCCCAGAGGGGCAGACATCTTAGCTGGGACTGAAAGGATAGGTCACCCAGTTGGGGGAGAAGAAGAGAATGCATGGAGCATTCAGGGCAAGTGGAAACTGTGTTGGAAACATCATGGCATGACCCAGCGGCACACTGGGTGGTCCATAAAGCAGGGCTGTGTGGAGAAGAGACTGCCTGGGGGAGCCCTGGTGGACAAGGAGGGTGGCTTCCTCCTGAAGGGCTGAGGGCTGACAGGTATGTGACCTGGCCTATTGGACTTTCCCATTCTGAGAGCCTAAAGGGAGGGTGTGTGGGGGGGAAAAGAACTCTGATGTATTCAGGGTGGCGAACTGCCCAGGGAAAATATTTCCCAGATTCTCTTGGAGCCAAGAGTGGCCGATGGGCAATGTTGTGATCACAGAGTCACAGGCAGAAATTGCTCTTCTAGCCGGGCTCGGTGGCTCAGCCTGTAATCCCAGCACTTTGGGAGGCTGAGGTGAGTGGACTGCCTGAGCCCGTGGGTTCGAGACCCGCCTGGGCAACTTGGCGAGACCGCACCTCTACAATAAATCAAAAATGAGCCAGGCGTGGTAGCGCACCTGTAGTTCCAGCTACTTGGAAGGCTGAGGCGGAAGGACTGCCGGAGTCCAGTGGGTCGAGGCTGCGGTGGCCAGGAGCGGCCACTGC